CTGGTTTCTGGACAAGCAGTATGGGAGCAATATTGTTGCAATGTTATTTGCAAATGTGTGCGGAGAGTTGTGTGTCTGTATCTAGATTGATGCGTGTGCAGTGGGGTTTGAAAATGTGGGAGATTTGTCTTTACGAGTTTACAAATCTGTATTCAGATCTACAAATGCATGTTAGGATTAGCAAATGTGTACTTAAAACTACAAATGTGTAGATCAGTCTGTAAACAAACAGAGTCACTTAAGTCTGATGTATTTTTTCTTCAACACCCAGAAATCCAGACTAATCATTGTTTAGAGGTCAAGTAGTTTCTTGGTTGGGTCTCTTTACACTTGTGATTTTTGCTACACTTCTGCCGTGTGAGATCTGCAAATGCGTAGAGAGGATTCGTATGCGTAATATCTTGACTTGCTGCCCTGAGCGCAGGCTCGCAGGCTTAAGGTGGCCGTTTATCATAATATCAGCTTTTCTGACCATCCGTAATTACTTTTAAGATGTCAAAGAGAAAGTTTGGGCTTGAAAAATTTAAATTTTGACTATCCTGAATGTTACTTTAAGACATCTGAAATTACATTATGACTAGTGAAAATAAAGGGCAGATTATACTTCTGCAACCGCACACATCAAATGTCACTTGGGTCTGGTCGCGAACCAGTTTTGCTGGTATGCTTCTGCACCGTCGGTATGGAATTTCTGAGGGACGTGCGGCAGTTTCCCGCCAAAGTGCAAGGGGGAGCCTATTCAAGAACTCACAAGAACATCGATGGATGGTACTTCCGACCCTCCTTGATTAACCTTTTGTCGTAGTTGTTCTAAATTTTTAAAAATGGCGCACCCTGGCACTGAAAAGAGAAGGACGACCACACAGACAGCGGGAAAGGCATACCAAGGATCAATCACAGCTGCTTTTTGTCAGCGCACTTCCGCTTCAGGTCTGCGTCGTATTGCGACCTTCAAACGCGCAATCAGGATTTTTTTGAGGTGGTTGCAGAACTTCTGCGCGGGGGTCATGGTCGCTTACGGAGACAGATTTGATGGTTGCAGAGGCTATGCGTCAGAAGCATAGATTGGCCTCAACGATTCAAGATATCAATCAAATTTTGGAGAGTCAAAATGCCTTTTGAGATATCTCAAATAGCGTCGCCTGATCCATCATTGAACGTTTCACACATCTGGAATTATGATGAAGGTATCTCAAAGAGGTTTGCTTTGGTGGCGCACATGACCCATGTACAAAGGCCTTAGTCCTCGATGCGGGCGACCCAGGTTTGAATCCAGCCTGTGGTCCTTTCCCGTATGTCTCTATCCCACACCCGCTTCTGTCAGCAGTATGGGATCCGCGGCGAACAAGAACTTTGAACTCAAAGGCTGCTACAGAAATATGCTATGCGGTGAATTGCTGCAGGGAAGTTCGTTTGGAGCCGGATATTCAAGCTCCACCGAGTTAGCGGCACCTGTCTCACAGTTGATCCGATTAAGGAGCCCAAATGCCGGCCAGCCGCTCTCTGTTGCTCCCTTCAAGGTCATGAAAAAACTGAAACCCTAGAATAAAACATTGATAAAGTTGTGCTTAGTGCAAAGGAAAATCAGAATATTGGTAGAAAATAATCGCAATTTAGCTTTTTTGGCAAAAATCCTTCAGCCCTAGTCGAAATGCTTCATGACGACTCATCACCAGTCATGCTTTAAAAACATGCTTATTTTATTTCCGTTTTTTTCAGATGATCATTAGAAAATAGAGATGAAATCATGAGCAAAGCTCAACCAGCTCTCCACAGTTCTACCCGTTTGGGATCACGATGCAGACCAACATCTGTGTGTTGCAGGTGCTGGCTGATAAACATGGTGACGCACTGTGGCTCAATGAGAGGGAGTGCTCCATCCAGAGGAGGAACCAGAAGGTGGTGGAGGAGGCGCCCAGGTCAGTGAGCTTCTCATGTTTCCTGGTCCAGGGACCAGATCTGCTCCAGTCCTGCTTCATGGCAGTGACGCTACATGATTGGCTGAACGTTGCCACATGATGTAAAACATTTTGGTTGCCCAGACAACGATAATAACATCACGCAGCATCAGTGTGTCGAGCAGGAAGCATCTGTAGCGTCAGCGTGTCTAATGACTGATGAAGTTTTATGTGATTGATACAAAAACTGAAAACAAATCTGTTTCTGGTGAACAAAGTAACTGTTAGACCCTGATATAAGAGGGAGAACTGGGTAGCGCTGTGGCTAGCTGTGCTCAGTAGCTAACAGGTTAGCCTCGTTTAGCTCGGTCAGTTAGCCATATTAAGCTACATTACCTTTAAATTTGTGTCAACAGCAACCGTTCGTTTTCTACAAGTAGAATAACTTTTATTTGGCTAAAATCTCTACCAAAGTCATTTATTAAGATCTTCCTCCTATGCCCTCAGATCTTAATAAAATACTTTTTTTGTCACCTTGCAGATACAGATATCAGCCTTAGAAGGCAGTACTTTCTTTCAAGTCTCAAGAATGATTGTTTCCTACTTTCGGCTACTTTAGATCACCAATGAAATGTAAAATAATAGCCATTATGGGTAATAATATGTTGAGACTCCAAAAGAGATTCTATCTTTAAGAAATGGGTGCAATACATTTGGTCCGAGTGGAGTTGCCATATGTTTAATATCATAAGAAGGGGCGGGGCCTGAGCAGATCTGGTACATATACTGCCGCTGCTCTAGAACTCCAGGCTGGAAAAGATTTCCCCCTGAATGTAAACCAAGCAAACTTAGTTAGAAATGAGGAAATCCAGCATCTCCAGTCGGATGCGATGGAGCCTTCCTAGACCTCCCATCATCATCATCATCATCATCATCATCATCATTCCTCAGCACGTTCTTGGACCCAGACACGCGGCGGGCGATGGGGGAGCAGGCGGTGCAGCTGGCCAAGGCTGTGAAGTACTCTTCTGCCGGGACCGTGGAGTTTCTGGTGGATTCTAAGAAAAACTTCTACTTCCTGGAGATGAACACGCGCCTGCAGGTGAGCAGAGGCGGATCGCCAGGGCTTAAGGTCGGTCGCCATGATTGATGGAGGTGATGGGTGTTTCTCTGGTATGTCCTGGCAGGTGGAGCATCCCATCACTGAATGCATCACAGGTCTGGACCTGGTGGAGCAGATGATCCGGGTCGCCAAGGGATACAGGCTGCAGCACCGGCAGGAGGACATCCCCATCAACGGCTGGGCCATAGAGAGCCGGGTTTATGCAGAGGTCAGTCTGTAGGGAGGTGCTGCGCTGCAGAAGGAAGTGACAAGGTTCCTGCAGGGTCCTAAAAATCTATTTATTAAAATCTAAATGTTAAGAAGTATGAAACCTGAAGTCATTTATCTTGAATTATATGCAGTTTCCCCCGGAGTATTCTAAACCTAAACTCTAAGTATTGGCCTGTTTATTACAGATGCGTGGTTTAAGATCAACATTTAAAAAAGCTAAGAAGCTAGCAGCTATTAGCCTAAAGCCTGACAAACATTACGGCCATTTCTCAGTATGTGTACCTGTACAGTCACATCTAATCCCTGACTGGATTTAGCCACATGAATGTAAATTCCACTCTCGCTGCCAAGAATCGTTCCATTCACCTCCCTAATCCTGAGATCCGCCCTTCTACATAGAGAGGGGAATCCTTTGCTCCAGCGCAGCTGTTTGGCGCCCGAATATTCAGTCTGATTTCAGTAAATACATTTCCTTCATTTCCTGGACTGCTCTTTTTTCCTATGCCTGTGAAACGGGTTTTACAATTTTTTCCAGGTGGTCTTAAAAAGTCTTATATTTAACTTTTGGAAGCTTGTAGGAACCCTGAGTGAGGTCATCTCAGAAATGAATGCTGATTGGTTCACTCCATCCGTTCTGTCATCTTAGGGTGACCAGACTTGCTTTTTTTTCCGGACATGTCCTACTTTTCATACCTAAAAAAATATCCGGGGGGAATTTTAAAATCATTCTGTAAAAGTTTAAAAAAACAATCCACTGGACTTGGTTCAATTCAAACATTTGAATTGAGAAAGCTTCTTGGAGGGGAAGCGAAACGTCTTGAAACTTTGGAAATTAAGTCCAGTGGATTGTTTTTTAAACTTTTACAGACTGAGTATGACCTGGATGACTGAGAATCTTCATCAGCAAATTTCAAAATCGTAAGAAGCAGAACCGAGCCGTGAGCTCCAGGGATGGTCCGGGAACTCCGGCGGACGGGGGGAGGAAGCGAGCGGAGGACGGAGTGGGGAAGTATACCGTCACCGGGTCGGGTTCGATCGCTCCGGACTTGGACCAGCGCCGGAGCTCGGTTTGAATGCCCCGTCCCCCCAAAAAAAGTGTCATCCTTTTCAGAAACCCAAATCTGGTCACCGTATGTCATCCGTCTCATTTTCCTCTCTGTTTCTCATCATTCAGCCAAATTAATATCAGATCCTGTGACACCAGCCTGGAATGATAAAGTTCTCATCGCATCAGTGATGATCTCACATCCTGTTTAGAGTCAGACGTCTCGCGGTGGCCCTGATCGGTCAGAGGTTACTGTATCTGTCTGATAAAAGTTCTTCATGTTCTTCCGTGTCTCTCTTCCAGGATCCTTACAAGTCCTTTGGTCTCCCCTCCATCGGTCGGTTGTCTCAGTACCAAGAGCCCCTGAACCTCAACAACGTAAGCATCTTTAACATGAGCGGCGTTTCATGGAGGTCCCTGCTGGCTCCTCAGGGTGAAGGTCCAGTAACTCTCTCTGTTCCCTGACAGGTCCGAGTGGACAGTGGAATCGAGGAAGGAAGTGACATCAGCATCTACTACGATCCCATGATCTCCAAGGTGACACTCAGACGCAGTAATGAGGGCGTAGAATCAGGTCCAGATACTGATCCTGGTTCTCTTTGTAGCTGGTTACCTACGGATCCACTCGAGCTGAAGCTCTGGCCAGGATGGAGGACGCGCTGGACAGCTACGTGATCAGAGGTAGAGCGTCACCGACGGCGCCGTCAGTTCACCTTCGCTCTCAGTGACGCGGCTCTCGCTTGGTCTGTTCAGGTGTGACCCACAACATTCCACTTCTGAGGGAAATCATCACTCACCCTCGCTTTGTCTCCGGCGACATCACCACCAACTTCCTGCCTGAAGTGTATCCCGATGGGTTCAAGGGTCACCAGCTGGAGGCGCAGAGCCGCAGGGAGCTGCTGGCCTCGGCGGCGGCCCTCTACGTCACCGCTCAGCTCCGCTCACAGAAGATCCTGGGCCCCCTCAGGTGAGCAGAACCCAGATCTGTGGATTGCTCAATGCATTGACTGCAGCTCCAGAGCTGCTGGGAGCATCAGGCCATGGATTATCGCCTTGTGGGTTCAATATTTAGCTCTGTTGCCACATGAAGACACGCTGGCCCCGCCCCGCCCCGCCCCGCCCCTCTGTCCTAGAAACACTGCTGCACTGCTTCCAAGCTGTGGTCTCTCCTGCAGAGCTGTTAGCATAAACCCTGTGCTAAATGAACCAGACTGTAGAAAGTGGTTAAACTCCTCTAGGTTACATTTTTTAAAGTACAGGAAATGTTGGTCACTCCACTAATATACCTTTTATCTGTAACAAAGAAGTTTATAAATCATACAGTCATTGACCTAAAAGACCTAGAAGCTTTTTCCTGCTGAAAGCGCCTCAGATGTGAACATAGCATTAATGTTAGACTGGATCAATGAAGGTGTTTATTTGGACCCGGGTCGCTCTGTATTAGCTACCCAACCTGAGACTCTGTTGATCCAAACAAGAAATCACAGCAAAACTATCCAGGGGCGGAAAGCTGATTGAGTTCTGTTAGAACCTCATGTTCTAAAGGTTCTAAGATCAACACGCCCTGGATGAGGAAGCAGGTCTGATGAAACAGCGACCAGCGGCTGTAGGGTTCTGGTGTTGGGGCTGCAGGGATGGGCTGGATGGCTCTAATGGTCTTGCCTGTTGGAAATGTGTTCCAGAGTGTCCTCGGCGCCGATGGAACGTGGTTTCTGGGAGCTGTGTGTGGAGCTGGGAGGGCAACAGCATCATGTGCAGGTCACAAAGTCAGGCGATCTCTATACCGTAAGTACTGGATGCTACCGAGGTAACCACAGGTGGACGGCGGACATTGTGGGGCGCCTAGGGAGGGGCTGGTCTGTGTAGTTTTACCTGAAGGGAAGATGCATCACAGCCGTTTGAGCTGGAATCCGTCTGTAAGTTTGAACTAAAGGTGACTTTTGATGGCATTTAATGAGTCAGCTCTACATACAGCAACCAAATCTGCTTTGAATAGGTTTCTGCGCTTGTTGCTTACAGCTATTTAAAATCAAAATTCATACCAGTGTTTTTATTTCACAATCCATGTGTAGAAAATCTGACTCTATGTCCAGATCATGTCTCTGCAAAGCTGCCACCTTGGAGTGAAACTCGTGTCAGTTTATTTATGAATTTATATCATCTCAAGGCATTTTATAGAGTCAAATCAATCAGATCATCCGCTCAGATTAAAGGTTTGAAGTTTTCTGTCTAAGGAAATCCAGTTGCATCGGCTCATTGACAGAATGAGCAGATAGAGTCAGGAGATATCATTGCTTTGCTGCTGTAGGCTTAGGCTGCTGGAGGGCTGGACTTCATTGCTGAAGATTCAATAAATCGTTGCAATCAGCTGGTTAGCTTTAGATAGAAAACTTTGAATCAAACGGACTCGATGATCTGGTTTAATTGTTTCTGTAAGGTGAACTGACATGATGTGTTGTGAATTTGAGCTATAGAAATAATTTGGATTTAATTGGAGGACATAAAGACTGATTTTCCTCTCTCTGCTATAACCTCCTACTTTTCCCAATTTTGCATTATTTGCTGTTATGTAAACTTTTAACTTATGTATTAAAATTGCAGCAATAGTCCAGTTCATGTGTCCGATAGGAAGTGGAGAGAAAAGCTTCTCTTTAACAGGAAGAGATTGACCAGAATCAGCCTCAATGTGCACGGCTTTCTACCATGACAGACTGTAGGTTTGAGCAACCAGCAGAGATACAAAAGGTACATAGAGAAAACGATCCAGTGGTAATTTATATGTTAGAGGAAATTAGGTTAGTTGCTGTAGTAGCTTCATCTGGGAGAGAAACTATAGAGTTCTGAGTCAGAATTCAGGTCTAGAAGATAAATGAGAGCAGATCCAATTGGTACCGGTAGAGACAGCTGATGGTTATAGAAGAGACAGGGGTAACCACAGAGAGATGGCCCAAGCAGCTAAATAGAACCAGACCAGATGAAGCTGCTATGGAAAGAAACAGCAGAGAGAACAAACAGGTTCAATTTGCAATAACTGCAAATTTGGAAAATAGTAGGAGGATGTAGCAGATGGAGGAAAATGGTCCCTTTGTCCTCCGGCAGCCTAAGCCTATAGCATCATAACTAAACGAAATGGCTCAGGATAACCTAAGCCATTTCAGAGTTTTCATTCTAGTCTTTTATGGGCTGGCTGTACAGGTGGAGGCTGATGGAGAAAAGGTGGATGTCTGTGGACAGTGGAATCTGGCTTCCCCTCTGCTGCCAATCACTGTTAATGGTACAGAGAGGATGTTCCAGGTAAATACCCCAAGTTTTTTTTTCTCTGCCAAGAAAGCACACTCAAGATGCTGATTTCGTTGTTTTTGTTCCAGTGTCTGTCCAGGGAGGCTTCAGGAACCATAGTTCTGCAATACATGGGCACAATGGTAAGGCTGCATGTTGCAAAAAGCTCTGCTAGTTTACCCATTATTGGATTGGATTGGAGATGATGGGGTCATCCTGCTAGACCTGTAACTCCTTTGACCCAATCTAAGATCAGACCAATCTAATCCGAACCACATCCATTGATTAGATTAACCACATCACACTGTGTTTTAGTTTAAGCTTCAGATCATGTCCCAGCGGGCTGCAGAGCTGAACTCCTACATGCCAGAGAAGGTTCCAGAAGACACCAGCAGCATCCTGCGCTCCCCCATGCCGGGAACGGTGGTGGCTGTTTCTGTCAAACCTGGAGATACGGTAATGCTGACGTTTTGCACTGCCTCAAACCTTAGATCACTCTCTCGACAGAAGCAGGACTCTGCTGTGATCTTCATTTTCCTGCAAAGCTAGCCTAACCTTGGGTATTGCGGCCTTTGCAGGTTGCAGAAGGTCAGGAGATCTGCGTAATTGAAGCCATGAAGATGCAGAACAGCTTAACGGCTGTCAAGCAAGCAAAGGTAAAAGTAAAACCTTGTCCAGTTCCTTTTATTGGAGAAGAAAACTCTGACTGCTTCTGCTTCCAGGTGAAGAGTGTCCACTGCAAGGCAGGAGAGACGGTGGGAGAGGGAGACCTGCTGGTGGAGCTGGAGTAGAACAGCAACTTTGATCTCTGTAATCACCTCAATTCAGAGGACTGGTTTCCCACCAGCAGGGGAGGACATTTTGACACTAATGTGCATTAGATGTGTTGAACTGATGGCCTCCATCAGGACTGTTGATTTTTTTGTAGTTTTTATTAAAGAGTCTCTTTGCTTACATTCCTACCAAGTTTGTCTTTTTTTTTTTTTGTTGCCATGTTGGTTTTTAAAGGTGGGAAAAGCCCACAGTGGGTAGCGGGACGAAGGCGTAGCCATAGATTTTAAACACCAGCTGGCCTTAAAAGATGTGATGAGTTCACACTGTTGGTATTTCATTGGTATCCATCTAGTTTCATGTCATCCTTTAACCGGCTGCTGCTGAATTCTTGTGTAAAACTGACTCCGAAATCCCGCAAGATCCCGAAAGGGCGGGAAAAAATAACTGACCGTTACTATGGATATATGCAGCGGGATTATTACTGTAAAGGTGAACCTGAAGGGTGCTGAAGATTAAGAAACTGAAACAGAGTGATCTTAAAGCTACAGTGTGTAACTTTTAGCGACATCTAGCGGTCAGACTGCAGCAACATGA